TCTTAAATGTCAAAAAAGCACAAATATGAAAACGATTATTCTCAAAGGAGTGATCTTTTATGAAAAAAATGCGTATAGTAATTCTTTCCAGTTGGTTTTGAGAAGTAATGTGTGGAATTATATTTGCAAAGTTGCAAAGACAGAGATCTCATTTTGTGGCAGGAGGGAGAATTCTTGCAGGCACGATTCACTGTGAGGAAGGAGCACTGGCCTGGCCAACAGTGATTATATTCTGGCTGCAAATGGCCATGTGATTATATTCTGACAGCTAGCTGTGGTCATGTGATTATATCCTGGCAGCAAATGGAACACAAGCACAAGATGGAATTAATGGGAAGTGCCCTTAAGGGGAGGGTCCCTGCCTGATGGCTGGAAGGTGAATGTAATGGCTGGAGCTACAGCATTCATTTTGGGCTATGAGATAACCTTGGGTATGTAAGTCATGCCAACAGAACAACCAGAGAGTAGGAGCCTGAGTATGAGCCCATGGAGGATGCTCCCAGGCCTGGATGACTACCTTTAACCTTCATGAATGTGAAGAAGTAAATGTCTATCTTGTTTAAGTTGTTATCATATTGGATTTTTCTGTTCCTACTTGCAAGTTAACTTAATCCTAATGAATATACATACCACTGATATGCTTGGACTGAAAAAGCAAAGCTGGGGTGATGTATTGATTTTTGCATATTGAAACTGATTTAGAAAGCCCTTTTAAATTCCTCTGAGCATGCCTGTCTGCTGCTTCCTCTTCAAACCCAGGTTGTTTCTCAGCCCAATTTCTACAGGACCTTTTGGCCTGGCTCCCTTTACCCCTTCCCACACCATGTCACTCCCCCAAACCCACCCTGTGCTCCCTTCAGGAGGGTCTCCCCAGTCCTCGGTGGTCTGTCACCTCCTGAGCCTCCTTGTTTGTCTCCTCAGTGGGCCTGGGGCCCAGCAGAGCTCTGGAGTATGGTAGGAGATCAGGATCAAGGTGCCACCTTTGCTATAAAGTCCTGAGACATTTTGATTGTATAATATTCATTGTCTGTAAAGAGAAAGAGAATCAACTCATTTGGAGAACCAAAAAGTTTATTCTAGAAGGATACCTATATATAAAAGCCTACTCGACCGTCCACCGTTCGACTGTTAACTATGATGCTTACTGACCACCAGGGGGCAGACACTCCGACCAGGAGGTTAGCTTCCTGCTGGGGTCTGGCTGACTGGGACTGGGCTAGATGGGCCAGACATGCCCTGTAGCCCTCCCATGATCCCTCCCTGACTGGCCAACCTTTCTTGTCCCTCCCTGGCCCTGATCGTGCACCGGTGGGGTCCCTTGGCCTGGCCTGCACCCTCTCGCAATCCGGACCCCTCGGGGGATGTCAGAGAGCTGGCTTCGGCTTGATCCCCGCAGGCTAGGTGAGGGACTCCACTGGTGCACGATTCTATGCACTGGGCCTCTAGTAGTGACATAAATCTTCATATTCATTATCTAACCCTTAGTATGTCCTAAGCTCTGGCTGGGATGGGAGGACTTAGGGTGACAGGTGGGCTCTGCTCCCAGCTGGAGGTTAACACTGACATTGACACAGTTGGGCCCCTAGGAGTGTGTGGGAAAGGAGGTACTGGGGAAGGTGGAGGAGCTCTTAGGAAGAGAGAAATAACTCCTCCTGGGAAGATCAGGCAGGTCCCGGAGGAGGCGGCATTTGAGAAGTTCTGGGAAGAGGCCCAGGAAAAAACTAGTGAGTGAGGAGGTGGAAATATACATCATCGACGTCATTTATTGGAGGCTTGTCTTGTAAAGTCCCAGAGCTAGAATCTTACCTGTGAAGGTGGGATCAGTCTGTGAGCCTGCTCCCTCCCCCTCCTTCCTCTCTGGGGACATGACTGCTATTGACTGGCTCCTTGGCAAGGCCTCTCACCCATCCCCAGAGATGAATGGGTGCAGCAGGTGTGGATGGGATTGGCAGGAGAGCCACAAGCACCCCTAAGTGTGCTGCTCACAGCCACACCTGTATGCCCACCTGTACCTGAATGCCCACTGCACCTGCACACACACCTGCCCCTGTATATACACCTGCACCTGAATCCACACATGCAAATACATACCTGTGCACACACCTGCTCCTCCACACACTCCTGCACATTCACCCTCACCTGCATGACTACCTTCCCCTGCACACACACCTGCCCTCTTCACCTCACATGTGCACTGACGCCCCACCTGCACAGCCAGGTAGGGTTGCTTTGTACCAGTTCTGGCTTCAGCAAACAGGAAGTCACCCTGAGTGGGAAGCACTTGGTCTCTGCTAACAGATGCCGAGAACCCCCTGACCTGCCCCTCCACTTCAAGATGTTTGAACCCCCTGACCTGCCCCTCCACTCCAGGATGTTTGTCATAGAGGTCCTTGCACATATTTTCAGTACTTGAATTGATGAGGCCAGGAACTCTTACTGGCTTGGAGGCCTTTTATAACCCACTTAAGTTTAAAGATTCAATAAAGAGGGTGTGTCTCATAAAACAAGGAACAGGAAAGTAGCATTTGTGTTTTGGGAAGGACTTTTTGAATGTAACTGGGAGTGCAGTCCTGGACTCTTGGAAGTGTGTTTAGCATGTGTTTCACTTCATCATGTTTTTCTTTTTAATATTTTTATTGATTTCAGAGAGGAAGGAAGAGGGAGAGAGAGATAGAAACATCAATGATGAGAGAGAATCACTGATCGACTGCCTCCTGCATGCCCCCTACTGGGGATCAAGCCCGAAACCCGAGCATGTGCCCTTGGCCGGAACCTTCCAGTCTACAGTCCAATGCTCTATCCACTGAGCCAAACCAGCTAGGGCTTCATCATATTTTTAGAATGATCCCCATTTAGGACACGCACTGGTAACCCAAATGAACCTAATGTCTTTGGCAGTGGTGTTCTTCCTGAGTGGAAGCACTTGGTCTCCGCTAACAGATGCTGAGAACCCCCTGATCTGCCCCCCCCCCCACTTCAGGATGTTTGTCATAGAGGTCTGACATATACACTGACATACCATTCCATTGTGCCAGCCCCTTCCTATATGGCCAATACTCTCGTTTCTGCCTGGCTGAGTAAAACTTTATGCAGACAAGGCTATTTTCTGCCATTCTCCTTTCCTCTGTGCTTGGAATTAGAGGATTCTCCTAGAAATCCATTTGTAGCAACAGTGATCCGATGCTGGGATGAGCTGACGCCAGACACGGGTCTTTTTTAATCCCTGGAGTTATACTTCATGACATGGAGAGGCGATGGAGAAGGGTTAGAGCACGGGCCCTGTGTGACCTTGGGGTGACAGCTTGTCTCTGCCTCAAGCTCTGTCCTCACCTGTGATATGGACGAGATAGAACCTGCTCGTGGTTTTTGTGAGGCTCAGAGTGCGTGCAGGGAAGCGGGGAGCAGAGCGCAGCCCGCAGCCAGTGCTCGCTGAGCCGCTGTCTGTCAGGTGCCTGGCCATCGCCCTCCAGGACAGCAGTCCTTTCACGAACACGGGGGATTGGGTGAACAGGAGCACAGCCCAAATTCTCAGTTCAGCAGAGTTGATGTGGCCGGGTAAACACGAAGATGGACTCTTATCAAGATCAGGGAATTAGTCGCCTTTCCTTGAGAGGTGGGTCCCGGATTGCAGGTGGGGTTTTGTAGAAAGCCGGGTGTGATTTCAGCCACTGACCATATCACTGGGGAAAAGCATTGTCAATTCAGCAAATCTCAGGAAAACTCCGAGTTTGAGTGTTTCCAGTTCCTAGAGGAAAAGTTGGAATATTCCGTGTTGGGCAATTCACCACCTTCTCTTTGAACACATGGTTTCTTACACACTCAAGATGGGTACGTGGGCTCAGCTTTCCGAGGTGCCCTCCATTCTTCATCGTAACAGTGTGAGCTCGTTACTACATCCCATACACATATTTCTCTGGATCTGCGTCCCTAGCCCATGTGCACAGGGACGTAATTTAAAAGTGTAATATGCCCGGCCAGTATGGCTCAGTGGTTGAGTGTCAACCCATGCACCAAGAGGTTGCCCATTTGATTCCTGGTCAGGGCACATGCCCAGGGTGTGGGCTTGATACCCAGTGGGGGCCATGCAGGAGGCAGCCGATTGGTGTTTCTCTCTTATCATCGATGTTTCTATGTCTCCCTCTCCCTTCCTCTCTCCCTCTAAAAAAAAAAAAAAAATCAATAAAATATATTTAAAATAAAATAAGAAAAAGAAATAAAAATAAAATGTCTCCCCTTTTTTTAAAAAAAGTATACATATCACACAGAAAAGGATCAGAGATCCAAGGCTGTCCCCGTGGCCCCTCCCCCAGGGCTGCCTGAGGTTGGTGGGGGAGGAAGGGGGGAGGGGTTGGGGAGAAAGGCATGAGGACCTGGCACCATCATGTGGGGTGGGGGCCGGGGGGGAACGTTGAACAAGTTCTTTCCACTTCTGAGCCTGGGATATCTCATCTACAAAGAGGGGTTTATGATACAACCCATCTCTAAGGTTTGCAAATAGCATTTGCTGTGGAACCTTAGCATAAGCTGGCCCATAGGAAGCTCTTAAACATAGCTGTCAGTGTTAACATGAAAAGCATGAGCCACTGTCTCTCACCTAAATATTAAATCCTGGTATTTCTCACTCACTGCGCCAGCTGAATGAACAGACTTCTTCACCTTCTTCCAATAGGTGTAAAATCATGGCCTTTTATTTTTTTTTCGGTTTGGGGGTCTGCTGGGTGTTCATGACGGGTGGATCCACGTCCTCACCTTACCTCTCAGGAACCACGTGGGCTGATGTCCTGTGGTCTTTTAAAAATTGTTATTATTATTCTAAATCAGAGTGTGTTTTCACAGTTGGTTTCATGTCTTAAAGGTGCCGCTTAATTTTATGAGAAAACATGAACTCACACCTTTGGCGGTCACAGCCCTGCTGTGCTCTGTGGAACGTTAAAGGCGCCCAGGCACTGCAGGAAACCCAGTTCAAAACCTGAATCCTAATCCTGTCCCTTACTCACCAGAGTCCTGTGGGAGCGGCTGCCTCCAGATCTTGTTTCTCCTTTGATCACTGTCCAAAGAGATGTATGGAGAAAATAACGAAGTAAACGGTCCAGCCCCTAGGCTTGGCCTGAGTCCCGAGGAAGTCAGCTGGGCTGGACGGCTCGTGAGCCTCTGCTACAGACCAGAGTGACCCGGCTCGCCTATAAAGAGCCAAGTGACACGAACTCAAACGCCAAGAGGCAATAGATCTAAGGAATCTGTCTTTTCATTGTTATAAAAAAACAAACACCTGGGAAAATGCTGCACACAATGAAACAATATACTTTGAGGGGAACTCATAAAGTCTTTACGATGTTGCATTTTGTGCTATAGGGTTCCTGTGATTTATAAAGTGTCTCCAATAAACTGATGTGAGGGCCATTTCCTCCTTCCAGGCGCCCAGCACAGCCTTCCCCTGGGGCCCTCGTTGGTTGCAGGGGACCCCCTCCCACCCGATGAGAGTCACAGAGGGTTCCTGCAGGGCCCCAACAGGAGGGACAGAGACGAGAGCCCTGGCTCTGAATCAGCACGGCTAAGCACACAGGAGCACTGGGGGCCCCTGAGTGTGCTCCCCACAGCTACTTCTGCAGCCATGGTTGTACTTAACAGGTGGGGACTGTGAAACTGGGGTTCCCTGTATAGAAACCCACACTGGGAAATGGATGGATCCCCCCTAAAAGGTGTCGAGTACATTTCCATTTCCGTGATATAAAGCAGGTATTTGCTCGTTCTACTATCTGGCCAATTACATTTACAGGGTTAGGGCCAAGGAAATGCAAACACTACCTTGAGGAGACGCACCCCCACCCCTGAGCTGGCAGCATGAGAGGGTCGGCCAGGCCACCTGTCAGGAGACCGCAGTGATGCTCAGAGGAGATGAGAGCAGCCCCTGGGGAGGCAGGGCGCAAATATCCAATAAACGACACACACACGCCTTGTGATCTAGGAATTACACTCCTTGGAACCTGTCCCAGAGGAGTCTCACGCATGAGAAGAATCTTTATTTGGAACTGTGAGAGACTGGCAGTGCCCCTCCCGGAGGGAAGTGACCAGTCCAGTCTGCAAGGTCCTGTGTGGAGCACTGAGCAGGCCCTGCAAGTGGCCACCAGGATCTGTCGTCTCCCGGCACAGCCTCTGCGCCGCTGCAGAACGGGGTTTTTAAGAAGCACTGGGTCATCACGAGACCAGAGGCGAGTGGCACAGAGGGCGAGGGGCATTCTGAGGCAGCACTTGGACCGTCACTCAGGATCTCTCCATGAGACAGAGTAGGTTTCCACGAGTGTGATGGCAGGTGCTGAAACCCCATTCGAACGTCGAGGCAGCATGGCTGAGAGTGGGGACAAAGTCGGCCGCAGAGGGGACAGTGTGAGGGGACGATGTCCAGTGGGGCCAGGGTGGCTGAGGGTCTGCTTAGACAGTGGTCAGCAAACCGCGGTTCGGCAAACCGTGGCTCGCGAGCCACATGCGGCTCTTTGGCCCCTTGAGTGTGGCTCTTCCACAAAATACCGACTTCTGCGCATGGGCCACGAAGTTTCAATCACACTGTAGGTGCGTGCCCGCACGTGGTATTTTGTGGAAGAGCCACAGTCAAGGGGCCAAAGAGCTGCATGTGGCTCATGAGCCTCGGTTTGCCGACCACAGGCTTAGGAGAGCAACCTGAGGCAGGAACCAGACTGAGGAGTGGGCGCGAGGCTAAGAACAATTTCAGCTGCTGCTTTAATCATGACTGTAAATTTAATGTAACTTGATAATGAAGCTCTGGTGTTTATATTTTTTACTTCAATCTCAGTTTTTCCGTTTCACTTTATGTTTGAGAGTAGCACGGCGGTCTGAATAGTAAGTTCTCTCACTGCTAGCAGCATTCACAGCACTCTGGTCTGACATGCGGCCCGGCAGCCAAGCCCTTTCGCTTTCAGATGGAATGAGGAGGGCCGCGCCTCGTTTGCCCGGCCGGGCGTCTGGTGGCGTCAGCACTTGCCAGACCGCCTTTCATGGGCTTCTGCTGTCAGCAGAACAATTGTTTCTGGCTGACGCTTGGCACAGGCAGTCCTCAGCCAAGTGTGTTTTTGAAGGGTAGGGTTTGATCTCCATTCATTCGGCTTTGTTGAAGGAGAGTGAGAAAAAGGAATTCGCCCCAGCTTCTGATTCTGTCATTTTTATTTTCAGTCCAAATGCCGTAACCACGGCTGGCATTGAGCTTTCAGCACGACCCGGCATCTTGGCTACGTTGGAAAAAGCACGCCTCACTCCCACCAGTCAGAGTTTTATGAACGGCTGCCCCACTTTCCCGCCGGGGCTGTGCTGTGCTGTGCTGTTGACCCAACACGACACACAGGTCCCTCTGTGTCCCACTGGACACTGGCCAGGCATCCTCGGTCTACGGAGCGAGATCACTCAGCCCTGGAAATCTCAGGGCAACAAAAAGCCTCTGTTCATTCATGACTTTGAATAGAAAGGGTCTGGCCGGCCACACTGCGGGGGCCGGAATCCCAGATGGGCGCCCGGACAGCTCTTCCGTCTGCCAGCCCATCAGGTGGGAGAGGCAGTGGCGCCCCATCCTGGCTCAGTGGGTGAACCCAGAGGAAACCCGCCCCATGAATCTCTCAGGCCACGTCAGACGGTCACTGGACCTTCACAGCCCTCTTTGTCGTCACTGTCCAAAGTGCACGGAGCCCATTTTTAGTTTTTGGGGCATGGGCACTGGCTGAAGTCAGCACTGCCTGTGTCGGTGAGAGGGCACCACACGGCCAGCACCAGGAAGGAGACGTGCGCTGGTGCAGATGTTGTGAGGCTGCTGTGGTCAGTCCCCATCCACAGGCTCTGAAACCTGAGTTGTTTGGCTCCCTGGAAGGGAGGGGGGCTGATCCCCTGACATCTGGTGCCCGAGGGGAGGCTCTGGTGGGCTCGGGAGTTGAGCCAACATAGCCAGAGAGGCTGCTCTGCCCATGATGTCAAGGTGGCACTTGGTATGTGAGGCCCTAAATGCAGGGGTCTTGCCAGCCATGGTGCAATTTTTAAAGTTGGCTTGTTGTTCAGCCCGGCTGGCGTGGCTCAGTGGCTTAGCATCCACCTATGAACCAGGAGGTCACAGTTCCATTCCCGGTCAGGGCACATGCCCAGGTTGTGGGCTCAATCTCCAGTGGGGGGTGTGCAGGAGGCAGCCGATCAATGATTCTCTCTCATCATTGATGTTTCTATCTCTTTCTCCCTCTCCCTTCCTCTCTAAAATCAGTAAAAAAAAAAAAACACCAAAAAACAAACAAAAAAACAACAACACTATATATATATAAAGCTGGCTTGTTGTTCAAATAAATGCACCCCCATTCTTGTTAAGTGGCGGTGCTCACTCCCAGTGCCCGGTAGCTGTGGGCCATTCTCAGAAACCAGGGAGCAGAAAGAGGGAGAGGGCACAGTGCCCAGCTTCACACTTCCCTGCACAGCCCTCAAAGCCACGCCTGGCCCAGGCCCCGAGGGGCAGAAACCGGGCTGACATAGCAGCTGCAAGTCAGCTCCGGAGCAGGAGCAGGGAGCTCTGTCCCCCTGGGCATCCGCTTAGCTGGCCTGCGGGAACAGGAAACTCCCCATGGTGCTCCACCCCAGCAGACCCCCATTCCTCTCCTCTCTCCGGCCAAGATTTCAGGGTGTGCTTTACACTTTCATGCCTCTGGCCCAGAGAGCTTGTCCCCAGGGACACGGTGTACAGAGGGTTGTTGTAATGACTCCCCCACATCTCTCCGTATCGACTCCTTTGCTCCCGTCCCTGACTCCTGAGGAGACTGCTCCTGGACACGTAGAGAGGGCAGTGCTGAAAAAACAGGGTGCGTGTGGGCGGCTGGGCTGTGAGTGCCACGGCAGGGAGAGAGGGCACCATCCCAGAGGACACCCCCTCCCACGCGGGCTGAAGGCTCACTGTGCCACAGGAGGGGGCGTGCCCTGAACCCCAAATGCCTAGGGAGGGAGGTGCTGCTCAGGTTGGCTTTCAGGCGTGTTTACATTCCCACACACTTCAGTGGATGTCCAGGAAGCAGGTTGTGTTTTGAACTTGCCAGTAAGAGTCAGGTAAAGGGCGAGAGATTTTGGAGGCAGGTGACTGATCAGGGTCCGTGTGCCAAACAGAAATTCTGCAGACCCAGCCACGCGTGCTGTGGGTGCGGGGCAGGCGGGGCCAGGAGGCTGGCCTGGGTCTGGTCACTGCGTGCCCTGGATCGAGATGGGGCACTCAGCCCCTCAGCTTCCTCCTCGGTGTCGTGATGAGTTCGGTTCCGCCACCCCAACGCTCTGATGAATTTTAACCATGTTTTCCAACGCGACTGGAAACACAGGTTTGTCCACTGCTCACGCTGAAGACAGCACCCGGAGTCCTGTGTAACTTGGCCCTGGAACGCACTGGGGCGGTGGTGTGGTTGATGATAAACCCAGTCCCCACCGGCCCATGCTGAGCCTGCTGCAGGGCAGCCTGCTGAGGGTGCACGTCACTCCAAGACGCCTCAGGATAGAACGATTTTCAATAGTGAGACATTAATTTGGAAGCTGACTTTCCTATTAAAACAAGGGTTATTCAACCTTGTAGTAATGATTCCTTAGTTTTAACGTTTCTTTTTTTAATCGAAGGCTGCTCTTTATGTATCTCACCATGTCTGGTTGGCAGGCGTCCCCCGTGGTGCATGGACAGCAGGCTTGCCCAGTATTTGCCTTTCTGAACAATTTCTAGTGGTTTTGATGACACATGGTCGGGGCGGGGCAGGGCCTTGGGTTCTCGGCAGGCCTGACATCACAGAGAGAGCAGGACTCGGTGCCTGCAGTGTAGACAGTGGTCCTGTCCTCAGCTGGGCCATGTGGGGAGGGGAGGCTGGTGTTGTCCCTGTGGGCAGGGCCCTGGAGCAGAGAGGGTGTGAGCGATGCTGGGGAGGGTTCCTGTGGCAGGTGCCTCTCCCAACCGGGGCAGGCTGACGTTGGCAGGACCCGTCCACATCAGGCCTCCTTGTCCATCTCCGAATCCAGCTGTGCCAATATTTACCAAGCCGTCGAGTCCCGGCTTCCTTCCTGAAAACGTCTCTGAGGGGCTCACCTCTTGAGAGCAGGTAAGCATCACCCTCACCTTCCGTGTCCTTGATCTGTAAACACCACCGAGCTTCCCATAAGCCCTTGAGTTTTCCACAAAATAACACTTGTGCTAGCTACAACCCTCCTGCCCTTATTGTCATTCTTCTCACAGTTGCGACTCTGCGCGTGGAGAATACTGGGCAGGCCTAGGCCCATCAGGTAGGAGGAGGCTAGCCCAGAGCCAAAAAGGTGAACCTGGCAGCACCTACACTGTCCCATGGCAGGTGTTACG